CGACGTCTCTTATTGGCATCAAAAGGTTTACCGTCAGATCCTCTTTTTCGCGGTATCCTTCCTCACAAGCCGCTACAACAATAGGGCGGTTCAAGTTGAGAAATGCGAGCAACGTGACGCAGAGTTGCGATCAAGTTTTTTAAGGTTGCTCACTCCTTAAAATTCTTGATCGCTCAGTCACGAACGCTCTAAAACTAAGTTTTAAGGCCTTTTAAAAAAAGGGCCAACGTATTCCAACGCTCATACCTCCTTTTTTTTCTGCGCCCAACGGTTCTTCTTTAGTCCTCTGCCCTGTTTCTACTTGCCTCGGTGAAGTTCAACGGCTTGTTTTAGCAGTCGATTATGGAGTATTTCGCAAAAGAATCCATAGCTAATGAGAAAAAACTCTCACATCCAGGTACACCAAAAAACAAAAAAAATGGAAGATGATCTTTTTTTCATCATTCGGACCTGACAGTCGTAAGAAATTTAAGCAAAATCGAGTGATCGCAAAACTGTGAACCACCTCTAGAGGTGGTTCGCGAACTTATAATTATACTTAAAATTTAAAGCACCCGAACAAAACATAAAATTTAAAAAGGGGTGTAAAAGCTCTTCTTGAACCGCCCTAATCTACCGTGTTGGCAGTCCTAAAACATCACCAACCACAAACTTGTAACTGGTCCGGGCACAGCATGCAAATCGGTGGTGCGTCACTACGCGCGAATATGGGCTGCTCCATGAACTCGTTGAAGTACGCTGGTTGTTGGAAATTGTCAGCCTATAAACACTACGTACATCGTTACTCGCGGTCTCTGCTTAAAGACACCGTAAGGCTGGCGCGGGATTTCAGATGACAACGTTGAGGCCATTTTATAACCTTGTGGCTGCAATTTTCTTGTAATGCGCAATTAGTGTCCACTGCCCCATTCTATGTAAAATGCAACTCGATTTGTATTAGTTGGAGAATACTCCCTGGAGTTCTGTCCCTACGAGGACGGGTTTTGATACCCTTCGCAGGGTCTTGGCTCTGCAATCCTTCACTCCCTGTGAGTGGGTTCGAAGGGTCTCTTACCCGTCTTGTAGTGACGCTTTCTTTCTCGTGCGCCTACCGTGAGTTTCCACACAGAATCCTCACGCTTGCGCCGGAGAGAAAACTCTAGGTTTCTCCCAAAGCTTGCCAACCTCACTCCTGCAATGTCAGGAGCAAGGTTGACTACTGCATTACACCATCCTAGAGATAGCCACCACAACAGAGTTTTGAGAATGCCTCAAAACCTTTTTAGGTCTTGACCATGTCCAGACCTTTAGTCGGCAACCCTGACTTTCCGGTCAAGTTTGTCGCTGTTACTGAGTCTTGTGTTGAATCTGGCAAACTGCTGGTAGTCGGAGGGATTATTGGTGTTTCAGCTTGTCCTTGAGAATCCTTTTGGCTATTTTCTTTTCCTTGAGGATTCGGGCCTTTGACCACAATACATTTGATCTTTGACTCCTGATTCTGTTCTTCGGTAGTCTGATTCTTCTTTGTTGGTTCTTTCCTCTGAAGTTGTTGTTCTAAACTTGCGGGATTCACTGATGGAGCTCTGCTGAACCCTCTTAGCTTCCGTCTTGTATTGTTTTGTTCGGGAAATAATTTGTTGCTTCCGTTTGATGCCCTTGTAATTTCTCTTTTTTTGCAAAGTTCTTACTTCTATTATGCTCAAATCTTGAATACTTTGTTGTTGATAATATGTTTAAAATTTGATTAATGATCAAAGTTTCTGAGTTTGAGCTCTTGCGATAAAGTAGCAATCTGGAAGCTTGAAGATTTCCTGTATTGGAAATCTCTAGCTCAGATGGTTCGTGTACATAACTGTTAAGTCGTTATGTACCTTACGCTACTTACGCTTGCTCACACTCCACCCCGTAGACAGAGGTCCAAACGGCGTTTCTTGTCCGAACCCATCAGGAAATATAAGGAGAGAGGGAATAGTAAACTTACATATCCAATCTCAAACGAGCAGAGCATAGAGTTTCTAACCTCAAATGGGGTTTTTCGAGTTTTTGCCGTCTTCATTAAATCCGACGACAACACATCTTCTTAAAAAACTGCCGATAGATATTACAACGGCTGTACATAACTTGGATGTTTGCAGAAGAATCGAAGGGCTGAGGAGGATGAGAGCGCGCTCGCAAATTGCGAGCGCGAGCGCCGCAGACCTGACAGTTTTGGTCGTGGCTGCCCGATTGAGCTATCTATTTCATAAATTAGTTGAATTTCTCACGTCTGCATATGGCCTGTCAGACCAATGCGTCGACACATAGCAACGGCCCCATCTCCCACCGTTCCGCCGCATTCTGGTTCGAATCCATATTCGAAATTTCCATACATCCACTTCTTTATCGACATCTATATTCCTACCATACGTTATCCGTAGCAAGCACCATGCTAGTCACCGAGCTGATGACACAGCTCCATGCCTTGGACCCACAAGCTCACCAGGACTTGACCCTGAGCCAGCTGACCAAGTTTGCCACGCTCGCCGCGGAATTTTGGAAGCGTACCAACGGCGCTTTCATCACATCACCAAATCATGCCCCCTACAAATTCCTTACTCAATGCCTTGAGGCAGGCCAGCCGGATTCTAAGTGGGGGCATCTATGGAACATCGCATATGAAGCAATACCTACGTGCCATTACAACACCACCCTGTTCCAAGAACATGGCATACCCTCACGCGCGAGAAGGCCTATATCCCTCACACTTGCCGAACGCTACTTCCAACCACCCACCCATCATTGTTTCAACTGCATCGACAGCCACACAGGCCGCCCGTTGACCCTCGAGCGGCGCAAACCAAAGTTTGGATATATCTTTGACATCGCTGGATTACAGACTCTCCAATACGTTAATTTTTATTGTCGTGGTGAGTTGAACATTACATTAGTTCCAACTCATCATATAACTGAAAGATACTCAATTATTATTTGGCCAGTTTGCAAGACGGCCTACACGCCCTGTTACTACAGTTGCGATATCGAACGCAAATATTACACAGTAGCGGAAGGGCAGCCGGAAGAACATTTCCAGGTAACACAGCACTACTTCATGACGCACCGCCTTGCCAATCACTTCAACCATCTCCAGAACTTAGCCATGTAAGTAACTGACCCATTCCATATATGAATGGCCTACGTCGCAGTTCAATGACATATCATTTTCAATATTCAGAGTATCCGTTTACAACGTAGTGAATTCGTATAATCAAACTCATGCCAACCTGAAGCAGAAGTACACCAACGACTTCAACAAAAACCGGTACACTCGGAGACTGAGTGCTAACGTGTGTTCACTAGGACTGGACATCCATCGCCTGATGGATGTCTACGCCATTCGAGGAATCCGCCTAACGGGCAATGCCAAAGGAGCAGACGACAAGCGATATGAATCGGCAATGAAACAACATAGCGAATGGTTGGAATTAGAGGGAAACGGCCATACAGCACACGTTTGCTCTACATGCACTGAAGTCACAATAGACGAAGAAACTGGCACTGGGAAGAGTAAGTCATTGCACTTGTCATCTCATCATCACGTGTTTGTTAATTATTTAATAAGTACATCAGTTCTACGCTCAATGGTCACGGACGGCGTAACCCTCGGCATTTGGGCTTGCAGTGCTTCTCAAGAGCAACTGAAAGCCCTCGATCCAACTACCACCGAAGTATCTTGCACTAGCCCGTTAGAAAAGGTCAATGACCGATTCTGCCCTCTGCACACAGAGCTATTACACGACATTTGTCAGGCCCAGCCATGTATGAACAAGGTCGTCGGTAACACCAAGACGTGTCACCTGGAAGAACACATCCAGGCCAACACTACTTTCAAAGAACGTAACACATCCCTTTTTGGCCTACCACGACGTTTCAATTGCCCGCATTCAAACCTACACATGGATCCAAGTGTCCTCCTCGAGGCCGACACCGGCGAGGTCGTCCTGTCTGAGGAAGATCGCCTGTATTCGGAGGTTGAAGAGCGAGCACACGAAAGCGCTCGCGACGGCGGAGCCAGTGCAGAAGCGACCGCCAAGAGTGCAGGCAAGAAGAAGCGGATACTCATCTCGCGAGTCCGCACACATAACGAGCAACTGATGGTCTCGACTTGCGGAATCATAGTTGCAAGAAAGACTTTTTACAAGTCTGAATCCGTAACAAAAGTGAAGGTTAGCAACCAACATCTTACTCTACTTACCATTCATCAGATTTACTAAATAAACACCTACGTCAGGAATTCATCCGGGAGACATTTCCGGACAACATGCCACAGATCATCTTCTATGACAACGCGTGCGGCCTCTACTGCCACATACGATCGAACGCCAAGGACCGGGAGGATTTCAAGCACACCATGATGCCCGTGGATACTTTTCACATCAAGTCCCACAAGGATTCTCACACAACCTGCCGTCTCAACAACCACCCCAACCTCTTCCCTGAGCTGAAAAGGCCAGACGGTAGCTGGAGATTCAATGCCTCGGCTGCCGAAATCACCAACGCATGGTTCGGACGGTTCGACGCCATGTGTCGAAACATGGGTCATGTACGGTACACTTTTTTTTAGACAAAATGATCCGACTACACAACAACCACTTGATGGAAAAGTTGGAGGCACGTTCAAATGTACAATTTCTAGGTAACTTTGACATGTCTTCAGCCGCAAACCTCCCGCGAGCATAAAAGTTGCATTTCAACTTCTGATATTCAATCTACTTTAATATAATTTCATCTTTAATATAATTCATTCAGCCGGTTTAGTTTTATTTTACATTTACAACACTTGTTTGTTAGTCTCAATCCTATTGATTGTTTATCATTCACCGATAGTTCCATCATTCCATATCTTGTCATCCTTATTTCGTCCACTCTCCTTATGACTTACATTCATTCTTATCATGTAATCGCCGTGTTGTTATAACTCATTCACCTTAATGATTGTAAATGATTGTATCCAATGGCATATGGTTTTACCTCGTAATGAATAATCATCTACGAATGCAATTGAGAAAGCCAGAGGCTAGGTCGCCTAGCTTCTCTATTGATGCTCTATTCCCAGTCCCATTGATAGGGTTAGGGTTGAATAGTTGAATACCTTGCCGATGTTGTGGCAATGGGTACGTTTGAATATCAATATGCCCATTCCACTCTCTCTGAGCTGTGCAACCGCGCTTATAAGGCCCATTGACAATGGCCCGGTAATGTTCGTGTAATCGTGTGATCGAGGCGTCTGCAACTGCTGACCATGTGACGTCACCAACCCCGTTGGTAACGTTGTGGAAATGGTTAACATTTAACCTTCACACTTAGCTCATATATCTATCATCTTTAATATTAGACTTCACCATCTTCGATGTGTTGTCGATTGGGACATTATACTTATATTACAATAAAACTTAGGTACAATCAATCATCTTTAAAGTAGTAATTTCTTTGGGGGTTGGTGACGACGGGACTAGGAATCAACCTTGTCCATGTCACACCCCGGAAAGGTCTCGCGTGACACCTGAGAGGTCTTAGAGTCACGCGCCTCACCACAGAGAACTGATGACATCATAGAGATGACAAACCAGTCTTGCCCTGGATTGAGAGGCCTGGACTCGAGAGAGACGTCACCTAGAGTATTCCCTCCCATCAGAATCCTCGCCGTTTCTCTTCTCTCCTCATCTCTCTCTCTTCTCCTCTCGTCATCACACTCCTCGTGTGTGTTCGTCGTCTTAGACCTTTCCGCGGGTAAGGATTCCCCATTTTCGAACATCATGAGGTCGAGTAGAAGGAACAAGAATCTGGAACCGGAATTCGAACCGGAACCGACTCCACCACCATCAGAAGAAGAAAGAAGTTTCGAAATTGAAACCGAAGAGGAAGAACAACTTAGAAGAGATCGAGAAGATGCATTAGAAGAGATAAGAATGAATCGAGCAAACAAATCAGTCAACAAAGCGAACAAAGTGAAGAAGAAAGAAGCCACTCACATTTCTACCAACAACATAATTATAAATGACGATCAAATAGATAACAATGAAATAGAAGAAGAGTTAATGTTTAGTGAAGAAAACGAAAGCGGGTCTTCCTCATCTATTGAAGAAGTGAATGATCAAAAACAAAGTAAGTTACGCTCTTTAAATTCGGAAGGTTTCTATCAAATACCACTGCTCTTCTAGTACTTAGAATGCGAGCTATTGAATTCAATTGCTCTTCTGTGGAAAGAATATGAGCTTGTTCCACTGCTCTTCCAAAAGGAATGAGAGCTTCTCGTTAGAACGAACGTTAATTATCCACTGCTCTTCCAATCAAGGAATGAGAGCTCATCCTCACTTCTTAATATCCACTGCTCTTCCAATCAAGGAATGAGGGCTCATCCTCTAATTCTAAATATAGTTTAATCACAGATAAACTACTATTGTTAAAAGAATTGTTTAGATATAATACTAACTAAGCTTTGAACTATAGACATTTCGATTGAAATTGCCAAAATGGCTTTGGCAATGGGGAATACGAAAATTGTAGAACAATTTTTAAAGTCCTTAGGAGAAAACTCAAATAAGAAGATTCCTTTGTCGAATGTCGTAGATTCAGTTTACAATAACAGTGGGAAGGTTTCGTCATCAGGTTTAAGAGGCTTCAGCAAATACTGGAATGATCATCTAACAAAATTAGACTTAAACTTCAAACTCACGATGTTCAATGATCGTTGGATAGAGCTTGACCATATGGCTGAAGGCAGCAACACGTCGAAAAAGAAAGACAAGCCGACAGGCTTGATACCAAAAAGCAAATGGTGGATGACATACGCTGATTGGACTAGAGCGAAGACATTGATGCTAAAGTATTTACGTCAAACTTATTTTCATGTAAAATTTGTGAATGAGTAAGTATAATCATCTAGACGGAGTTGAAGTTAAAGATAACTGATGATAGTTTCAAGTTTGGAGAAACACTTTGATTATGTAGAAAACTTAAGCCTCAGACACGGCTGGTTAACAGCATTTAGGTACGATATCTCAGTTAGGACAGACGTCATGTGCAATAGGGTAGAAGGAGCACCTGGGGACCCAAAAATTCCAAGAGAAGTCTTTTTAGAAGAAGCTAAAGCACAGACTGAGTTATTGAGAGATGGTAGAATTATCTTACTAGACAATCGTAAGTCGTTGTAAATGATTGATGTCTAAAACATAACAAGATAATTGACAATGTCTTTTACCAGCATATGCAAAAGGGAATATACGAGAACGTTTCAACCCCGTCACAGGTAGACAATACTCAGATGGTTTGAATCATGACTCAGTAGAAAACATATTAGATGAAAATGATAACATAAGAAATAACAATAGTTTCAATCATAACAATAATAACAATAACTACTTAATGCCTTTTAATAGGAACGATCAGTTCAGAAGAAATGATAGTTTTCAAGGCAACAGAAGAAACAATCGACGAAACATAAACAGAGAAAGATCTCCTACGCCTTATCAACGGAATGAAAAATCTAAAGATAAATTTATCCCTAGCAATAATAAGGGAAAACAAGTAGATAGATCGCAATTTTATAGAGATGAAGAGCCACGTCAATCTACTTCAAAAGATAAACAAACGTGAGCTATAAGCGATATTATGCCCCTGCCTGTTACTTATGATTATTTGTAATACGCTATTTGTTAGTGATTTGTCTATATGTACGTGATAGAAATTGATATGTGAACTTTTTGTTGAAATGAATCAAAAGCCTTAGTTGCAGTTCGATAGATAAATCCACTTCGAACGTTGAAAATGGAAAAGAGAAATCAGCAATTCCTCTTTGGCCTGCAGCCGTAAAATGCAACATGAATATTATAGTATGGAAAAACCAACTAACTAAAATTCAACTTGCTAGAGAGATTCGGTTATCTATTAGAAGGTTTTGAAAAGGGTTTCCATCAGGGTATTGCGACACATAGGATAAAAGACTGGGACTTTTATTGCCCCCCCAACCATAACTCAGCAACGAATGCAAGGAAGAAAATCGAAGATAGTATAGAGAAGGAGGTCAACGCAGGTCGAATGTACGGACCATATACTAAAGAAGAAGTTTTGCAAAACTTAGGTTTCTTTAGAACAAATCCCTTGGGCGCAGTAGAAAATGTGGACGGCACTTTTAGACCAATTCACGACATGTCATATCCAAAATTCAACCCGGAAATCCCATCCTAAATTATTCCTTCGTGAATAAAGAAGATTTCGAGACGATGTGGAATGATTTCAAATTAGTGGCTGCGTTTATTAGAAATTTAAAAGTAGAAATTCAGATGGGGATATTCGATTGGGAAGGTGCTTACAGGCAAATCCCTACGCATCCTTCTCAATGGCCATATTTAGCAATAATGGACTTCAACAGCAAAATATTCATAGATCTGATGATAGCCTTCGGTGGCGTGGCTGGTTGTGGCTCGTTCGGTGGTCCAGCTGATGGCTGGAAAGAGTTGATGAAGGCAGCGTTCAAGTTATTAGAAGTATTTCGTTGGGTCGACGACAACTTGATGATTAAGTTGAAGTCTGATAAAACGACCATGGTGCAAATTGTACAGGCTAGCGAAGAGCTCGGTGTAAAAACTAATGTCACTAAATACGCGGAATTCGCCGATGAACAGAAGTTCATAGGTTTTATATGGAACTGTGTATTAAAGACAGTTCGTTTAACAGACAAAAAGTTATTGAAAAGGAAGTGCGATATCGACCAGTTCCTCACGAAAACAACCATCACGAAAAAGGAAATGCAAAAATTCAATGGTAAACTTGGCCACCTCACGTTGATTCTACTGCAGCTTAAATGTTATTTAGTTGAAGGGTTCAGTTTCGTGGCGTCTTGGAGGTCGCCAGGGAAGAGAACAATTCCCGCCGATGTAAAAGAAGACGTACTCTTCTGGAAATTGTACTTGGAAAACCTAAACCCGACAAAGTTGGTCCCAGATCACGTTATAAAAAACGTTGGCTGGGTTGGCGATGCTTCGACGGACTACGGTATAGGTATAATCATTGGGAGATCTTGGTCGCAATTCAGATGGTTGCCAGGGTGGGATGAACCGCCAGGACGGCCCAGACGAACTATCGCCTGGGCGGAAACAGTAGCCGTGCGGCTAGGTATCTTAATGCTAAAAGAACTGAATCTATCGACCGGCGTGGCAGGCTTTCGTTTTTCCTGCCTGACTGACAACACGACCACAGAAGGCGCAGCGAGGAACAGGAAATCACGCGACTTCTGGGTCAACCGGGAATGGAGATTAGTTCAAGACTTGCTGATTGAATTAGATTGTGATATCAACTTAGTACGAGTAACGTCAGCTGATAATGAAGCCGACAAATTGTCCAGAGGTCTGAAACCCTCAAAAGGCTTGAACAATCTCGTGGCAGTACCCATTCCAGCAGATCTCACACAACTCTTATCTCAAAATTTCACCTTCGAAAGTTGTCGCAGTATCAACACCTATTCACAATGACATCAGCCGAAGCAACACTTCGTAAGACGGGACCCTCGACTTTCCACCCTCTAGACGCGGCTAGCGAAGTGATGTTGAAACACGGATGGGCCAGTTCAACCATCCGTCAATACGTGGCAGCAGTCAACAAGCTCTTTACCTTCTTGGACGATTCCTTGTTCACTTTGCCGATCACATCCAAGATCCTATACGATTTCGTGATTTGGTGCAATGATCGACAAACTGATAATCCCGTGTTAAGTGATACCACCAAACAATACCTCACAGGTTTACGAATGTGGCATTGCCTCCACAACGCAAAATTTCCAGAGATTGACTCCGATAGACTAAGAATTATACTGAAAGCTTCGAAGAAATGTCAAACGAGCATTGTACGGCTTCATTGGTCCGGCCTGACATTACCAGACCTCGATTACCTCATCAGAAAATTACCCGGACCATCACTACCAAATACCACTCTCAGAGCGCTGCTTTTAGTAGGTTTTTGGGGGTTAGCCCGACTAGGCGAGCTCACCAGACATGATGATCACCCCGATATTTACATTCGACGGAAAGACGTTAGGTTCTCGTCCGACGACTCATCTGCCATCATTCGGTTACGCCTCGCGAAAACAGCCGCACCCGGTGAACTACAGTTCCTACGCCTTACCAAACAACCTAATCGGCTAGACCCGATTGCCGCCTTACGTCAACTACTACGAAGTTCTCCGGGTTCGGCTCACGAACCACTGTTTTGTGGAATTCTGGCGAACGAACCTATAAGAAGGGAAACGGTACTCGCAGTCTTAAAATTCCATGAGCCAATGGGTTGTTGTTGGACAGGACATAGTTTAAGGATCGGAGGCGCGTCATTGAGAGCTAATTTAGGTTGTTCATTGTCATCCTTGAGACACATTGGGAGGTGGAAGTCCTCATCGTACAAGAGATACGTAAAGAAGTACTCCGTTAAGTTGTTACAGGAAACGCAGAGATTGGCTAGGACTTTGCACAGGAGATGACCGCTTGTACTATTTAACATGACATGAAAAATGATTCAGATAACTATTGGCACCTACGCGTTCCACATGACTTTGTGCCCCTCGAGATTGGGAAGTGGGAGATATCTCCACGGTGCTTGTCTCTACGAGGACGGGTTTCGAGTCCCTTTGCAGGGACTCGGCTCTCCGAGCCTTCGCTCCCTGTGAGCGGGTTCGAAAGGACCCTTACCCGTCCCCGTAGTGACTGTTCTCAACCAGAGATCATGACAGACGTCTGATCACGATCAGGTTGAGAACTTTAGGTTCCTCCCACAGCACGCTGATCTCACTCTTGAAGTACCAAGAGCAAGATCAGCTATGCACGCCTTTTACCTAAAGGTAGTCACTTACCTTTAACCTCAGAGACGCTCTGAGGTACCTATCCCTTGAAGGGAGAAAAAACATGGATCATATTTTTTGACCATCATGTCAGAAGTCATTGACCTTACAGGCAGTGAAGACTCGATGATAAATGGCACTAGTATTGAATCTTGTGATGTCGTGAACCATGTCGGTGTTCCTCGCGCTCGTACTGAAGATGATGTTCTTAATGATCTTGACAACAGTTTGCAGAGCATCACGATGTCCGATTCATCAGGTACGCTCTTGTTCTCATTGTTATGTTTTTATTAAGCTTACACACTTTCTTGCTGTCGTATACTTAATAGATCCCTCAGGTAGGTTATTTAACTATTTGCTTTATTTAAATAATGCTGACACAAACATGCATTGATAGAGGGCCACAGCGAAGAGGATGATAGCAATGTATCGAAAGTCCCGTGGTATGAAAAATTGGAAGATTTGGGGCGAAAAGAAGAGGGTTGCCTTTATCGCTTGAGGTCCAAGCCTTTGCGCCCTTCAGCCATGTTTTACGATCAAAACGAGGATGTTTCTCACTTGGAAGATCGCGTAGGATTTAGGTGTTTTCAGAAGGTACCATTTGTGGTACCTTTAGGTTGGGAAGTTTGTTACATCCACCTTACTCACCGGGAAGTTTCTGGTTGGTATCTGCTCAAGTTCGACACCGCTTGGAAAGATATGCTATCACAAGGCCGAGGACACTGTTTTGTACGCGCTGAAAGCAATCGGTTTGCTGTGATGGCCATGGGAGCATTTCGTCGAGATCTTTACAACAAGATCGAAAATGCTTATGGCGCAATTAACCTGGTGCACCAACAGTGGTACTCGAATGCCGCTTCGATGGCAGTAAGCTCCTACTGTCTTGGACCTCCTGCGATTATTTACACCGACCACGTTAATCATGTAGATTCAGCCTTTGTACATTTTGCAGTCGTCGGGTTCCAAGTATGAGGATGAACCTCGCTGGATGATATGTGAGGGACTAACCGACGAAAAGAGCCACCGATTTGTCTATGAGAATAGGTTTGATAATGAACCTATGGTGCCTTACACTTGGAACGACTTGATCTACGCGTTTGTCCACTTCGCTTACGACATCAGTGGCGGCAGGACATTGATCTCCAACCTCGAATGTGATGCACGTGGAAGAATCACCAACATTGTATGTGAGATCAAGGGGTTAGTCAAAATCATAACATACCCAATGTGATTTGGCCTACTCACATTTGTTCTTTGCCTTTTTAAACTTATATAGCAGCGTGCCATATCACAGCCGCAACGATCCAGAGATGGTGCAGAAGGTCAAAGACGCGTTTGATCACTTTGAAGAACAACATAGATGCAATTTAATATGCGAACATCTTGGTAATGTTCCGCTATAGTTTATTGTAGGCAAAGAGTTACATTGGGTACTGTCCCATTTATATGATCTTTCGGCTCAGTTGTTAATTGTGAGTTATTTGAATGTTCCAATAGGTTACTGTCACTTTGATTTCATGCAACATATTAGAAGCTTCGTCATTTTGTGTTATTTTATTTTTGTGATAGTCTTTATTGTATCGCTTCGGTGTTTGTATTGTAATCATCTCAGGTCACAAATATGAATTGCACTGCTGGAAGTAGTTTATAACCAGTTTATTAAGAAGTTATTCAATACTGGAAACCGATCGGTGGTGATCGTGTGGCATTTCGCGTGATCGGGTGAGCTCAAGCGTAAAAAATGCCAACTCATATATGGCACATTCCAAAGGCATGTGCAGCAGGATTGTAGCCGGTATCAGGTTGAACAAATACGTGGGGATGATTATATTGAATATAAATGAAAAATGAAAAAAAAGATAAAGGTACAAAATAAAAATATAATTACGTCATGAAGAGATAGGATAGTCAACAAATAGAAGTCAACAATTAGATCACTCGATGACCAAAGTTATCAATTTGAATCTTTGCTATTAAAATGTTGGGAAGAAATCAAGCATAGCACATACACAGGGTTGTAGAAGGGATCAAACTAGATAGAACGATTGGAAAATAACCAATCGAAGTGAGGCAACATGTTAACCTTTGTGTTTGGGTTTGGCAGCAGTTCGGTTGTCCAGCTTCCGCCATTCGGATTTGAAGGCATCTTTACCATCGATCACCGTTGGATTGCCTTGGTTCACATATCACACCAAGCCGGCCTCTCTGATGTTTTCAATGATCTTCATAAGCCATCGGCGGTATTTGGTGGCCGTTGAAGTGAAGACATAACTACTATATACACGATTGAACGACTCTCGTATTGTGAGGTTTTCAGGCTCATTGGTGAGCGCGAAGAATGCGTGCAGGGATTTCATAGAAATCGGGGTGGGCTCGTTGGGCCATCCTGTTTGAAGAACAGACGACTTTGAGGGCATGATCGTGATGTCCGGCGACGAGCTGGCATTTGCTACAACCGGCTGAGGGAGAAGTAAAGCGTTGACCTCTGGAAGACTCGAAGCTTGTGATTGCTGAGGGAGAAGTAAAGAGTTGACCTCTGGAAGACTCGATGCTTGTGAAGGTAGAGGGGATTGTACATCATCTTCATCGTCTGAGATGGCGATTTCAATGGTATGTGGAATTGGGGTGGGGGTGATGGTGCGATTACGCGAATATGCAAGCGGACTGATGACCTTTTGCATGTCCATTCTTTGAAAGCTAGTCAAGGTCCGCACCAAATCCATGTTGAAATCCATTTCTTCACAGTGCTCCGGTATAATTCCAGGGAATAGAATCAAGATACGGCGATGTTGGGGGTTGTACTCTTCCACTATCGATGTTTTCATCTTGACCTGATGTAAATCTATTTCAGAAATTTTTCCAACAAAACAAACAGATATCCATAATTAGGGAAAGTGAACCTACCCAGCTTTTTTCATCGGGTATCCATACGCGAAGGTCACCATCCCAGGCAGCACCTAGCTTGCTATGGACTTGTTCCATCAACGTATCAGACTGGTTCAGCTTCATTCGAGGCCATTGCGGGGCGTAGACACGCCACGTCTCGCAGCCTAAGGGATTGGTCTGCACTGGAATCAGTTCATGCAGGTCGTGTCTTTGGGAATCATACCATACCAAACTCACCTCTAAACCTGCCCATACAACAAATGTAGTAGTTTTGCTGGCGACTTCTGCGTGCTCTTTATCATCCCGTTCTTCCGCTTGTTTCTGCAGGGTGGACATTCGAAATCTGGTCACCTGCGCAGCACTGAGGGGGGTGGCGAATGGAAGGCTCGCTTGGGTAGAAGGTATTTCGTGACTGGGGCCTTGGGTCATAATAGGCTCGAAGTCGTCTTGAGTACCAAAATCGAAGCTTGGTGACCGATGAACCACATTTCGCGTGGTGGCGATACCTTGGTTTACCGCTGGATTGGGTACCGGGGCGGTGCGTTGCTTGGCGTTGACCTTCTTATTGTGCTTCGAACAGCGTAAGTGGGCCGGTTTGAGCTCCTCGCAACACTATTTAATAAAATCGAAAGTGTAACGAAGGGACATTAGTTCACTTTTCGAGTGGTTTAGCAAAGTAACTGAGTTAGTCAAAGGGGTTGGCCTGACATTGCGACAGGTCTTGATAGCGCATTCAGCATTGTTCCGGGGAGTATGCAACTTGCCGAAATGGCCTTCGTAGCCATTGCATTTTTGTTCTGCGGTTAGTGCTTTCTTTTTACGTTGTGTGTTGTTTTGAGTGAGATTGGGGTTTGCGTCGGGGTCTCCGTTTACCAATTGCGCTACTTGCATTGCGAAAAGATTTTGCGATGTTCCAGCGCGCAGCGCTAAGTTATGTTGTTGGACTGCCTTCGTGGCTTGTGCAAGACTATATGACTTGAAATATTTCCCTTTACGGCACTGTAATGATCATTGGAATGTTTGTAGAGGGTGGTCATGAGTTCATATAATTCAGCATAAAGCAGAGTTTCTCGAACGTACAGAAATGCCAATGAGTGGCTCGCGGGATTGATTGGCGGGGGAGAAGTAGGATGTCGAGTGAGGTTTTGGGCAAGAGGGACAAAGTAGGCCGCTTTGGTGTTTGGGGTCTGGGGTCTGGTAACGGTAAAGGTAGGTTGGGCTTCACAGGATGGATAGGAAATTCGGCGTACTTCTTTCTGTCTGGAGCCATACCTATTAACGAGCGCAAACAATAATCAATGTTTGAATCAACGATAGATTCATTTATACGATTCATTTATACGAATAGTACTGTGAAGATTACTTACATTATGGATCAGGAAGGAAATTGGTGAGGGGTCCGGTTCTTTTGTGCACGACCTGCGAAACAGATCGAAGAAAAGGTCATATCTTTCATCGCGATGACTAGGGAGGTCGTTCGAAAGAGGATGATGTAGGTGAATGGCCCATCTTTTGGCCGTGCCGGTGCCGCCGATGCCACGCATGGGCAAATCAGTTATCCATTCGGTGATGATCATGAACTGATCATCGTGAGTGTGATCGAATACGGTGAACAAATACGGCTAACGGCGTTGTGGGAGTGTATGTGATGACTGTCCGTGACAACGTATGTACAGTAAGATGCAAAAAGGATGAAAAAATCCGGAAACAAAACCGACCTGGTGGTCCGTGCGCCCTGGGAAGTCTGGCGAAACCGGACCGCCAAAGCTCAGCAAACTTCTCGTCTCCAACAGCCACCGACTACCAGGGCTTCGCATACAGACCTATACAGACCTCACGGCTCCCAAACCCCAGCCCCCAACACCCATCCCCATCCATCCTCAAACCGCTCATCACTATCCTTAGCCTACCAGCCTCCTCAACTATCTTCAGTCGAGGGGGACTAGACGAATACTGCTCCTCATGGCTCCGCACCTTTCCGATCCACCTTACCGGCCATCGATTAGAACCACAACTCAGCCCTTCACCGTTACGAATGCCCTTCCGCGAGGTTTTGCAACCCTTTCTGGACTTCATCGCACCACACATCAGTCGTTTCGATCAGATTACTCCAAAGCATTCACCTTCAAGCCTACCCTTGACCCCTTTCACTCTGATTACTCTCGATCCATCATGCAAAACTTCTCACAAGCTCAAATCAACTTAGATGACACCCCCATTGGGCAGCGTCCTTACCCTAGCACTCGACGGTGTGTTCCTTTCTTTAGAAATTTTGCTTCTTTTGTTTGTGTCTCACATTTTTATTTTTCTGGATATGTTAGCGCATTGGCTGCCGCTGCAGTTGATCATGTCTCAGAGACCACTGCCTCTGTTGGTGATTGCAGCTCTTCGCTACCCCTTGCCGATGTCATATTTGGTCCACCTGTGGCCCGAGACCCCAGCCCAGCGGCCAGTTCCGACATTGAGATTGTCTCATTGAATTTACCACCTCGTGTCCCTCTGTCCGACAAAAAACCTGGTATGCATTCTTTCTGCTTCCGTCCTTTAGGAAGTCACATTCTAACATTCAAGACTTTTGTCTGTGGTTTAGTTTTGCAACCATCAGGAGCTCGTGTGACTACTCCTCAACCGCTCAGCGTGGCATACACTATGTGTTTGCTCAAAGGGACGGATATCACCAAGGGACCCGCTAAGAAGAATGCGAAGCCAGTCTATTCCACAATTCCCATCCCCGCCACCAAAAAACCTTTCGACCTAAACGAAACCTCTTTGGCGTGATTGAAGCAACGTTTATTTGATCTGGCAAGTGAGATTGATAACGACCAAAGCAAAGGTAACACAGCTATTCTCCAAACCGCCGATGCCATGAAACAAGTCAAGATCTATGCGTTTATTACTGCCCACGACACCTGGGCCAAAAACCAAGAACGTACCATCACCGAAGATATCCATGTCTCCTCTTTCTTTCAATCGGTCCTTGGAGCTCTCGGAAAGCACGCCGGTTTCGTCATTGTGATGGACAACCCAGCACGATGTGCTCAAGAGGCAATTGATGTATGTACCCATTATTTCACTTCACATTTTGCCTTTATCCTTTCACAGGCTAACTTTGCCCGGTTCTTTTTGGTGCAGGAACTCACAAAGAATCAAGCCCGACTCAGAGCACAGAACACCCTCAATAATGTTGTTACCACTGCCTCGGATCTTGCTCATGCAACTCCTGTTGATCCTCATTCGCGATGGCTCACTGCGTTACAAGATCATCATGGTTCATTGAAGAATAACAAGGCTGAAGGATGGCGAATTTTTAATCCGAAGGACTTGACCTTGAAAATGGAACTAACCTTCCATCACTTGATCCTGTGGGCTCGCGAATTGGTATGTTGTTTTCTTCCTCATTTTTCGTGATTAGATTTCCTTACTTGATGTCAAGTAACTAATGGGTTTCATTTTGATAGGTCAAGGGTACCAGAGATGTTACTATTGATGACCCGCCTATGGAATTGGAAGAGTTCTTCTGGATTGATGTCAAGCCGGTCAAGCGCCCTTCCCTCGCAACCCCTACTTCGGTGGCTAAGAAGATTAAGGTTGAAGAGGCGAGTCGCCCCTCTGAGTTGGGCAGCTATGCTGAAATGCAATAATCTACGGTCAGCGTCGATTTCAAAAACATACGACGCATCGAAATCCATTCAACTTTGCAACAATACTTGACCTGGTGCGAGATCGATTACAACAAGATCGACGATTATGTTCAGATCTTCTTCAAGCATTCGATTACCAGCTTCCATCGATTTCTATTTCCTTCTGTTTTGAGCGCAAAGACCATCGCTAGTTGGGGTATTCCATACGGAGTTGTGATGGAGTTAATGACTCGACCTCGCGAGTACTACACTTTCCAAGTCAACAAGTTAGAAGAACTCATGAATCTCCGAGCCATGAGAGCTGCCTCTGCTGAAGCCCATGGAGACAACATCGACAATTGAATCATGCGCTAGTTTGTTCCCTGCCTATATTCCAGATGTGCATTTCTTGATTGTCTTGTGTACGGCTTTTCCCCCTTCACGAACCGTAGTTCCTCTCATTTTATGATAATGAATGTCCATCAAGATATGTATGCCCTCACGATGATTGTATGGCTACCACCCAAATGTGTGCTTTTGAACTTGTTAAGATTTACAAATCCTTTATTCAAACTGAGGTATCCCATCACCACTCCCACATGAAAACTAAATGAAATTTCTCATGAATTGTTCACAAACCAAAAGTGCGACCTTGATCATAATGTGTTTAATTTGCTCAACTACCTTTTTTTGTTTGATGTTCAAGTCGGCATCGAGCTGTCCGACCGTTCAAAAAAACCCATGTGATTCTTCTTTAAGAATCACAAGTCCAAAAAACCTCAACAAAAGGGAATTTTGTTTTTTGGACTTGTGATTCTTTCCTCTTTGGAGAACAACTTCGAAAATCGATTCAAAAGGACTGGTTAAATTCCAGGTTTCTGATCATACAAAGACTCAGTTATTTGGTTCAAGTCTTTCTGAAAAGACCTCAACCGAAAATGAGCTTTTGCGACAATAACCCTTGGAGGAAATTCAATCGGTTGCTCAAATTGCTCTAAACACCCGGTCACGCAGATGAAAGAATAACAAATTTTCATTTATCCTAAAGTTGAACTAGGTAATTGAGCAAGCTCACAACATTTCAAACGATTGTAGACAGCTTCAGATGGACATATTTTAAGGACACATTTCAGAAAGTGAAAACTTATAAAGACAACACAATAATCAAGCTGCTGAATTTTGGCTTATTCGGCCGCTTGATTATTGTATTGTTCCCAATAACGGGCGGTTGAATAGCCACTAAAAGCAATCAGCGGTTGTAATAAACCTCGAGTCATAACTTTGGCGGCGGTTAAAAGCAGATAATCACCCTTATCTGGGACTTCAAACCATTGCTCTTCTCGCCGTAACTGAGCCTTCATGCTGTGGAAGGCATTCTCAATTGGATTCATGTCGGGTGAATAAGCTGGTAAATAAACTAAAAGTACCCCAGCATCCTTGCACATCTGCTTGATTTGTCCTCCGTGGTGTATGCGGGCGTTGTCCATTACAAGGACCGAGTTAACCGCGGGGTATGGGTTCATACGAGGAAGCTAGCATGGAAGAGGTCACACTATAATTAGTAAGTCAAAAGGGATTGATATCAGACCCAGAGATTGATGAAGATGAAACAAAACTGACCAATTCACATGCGAGGAATAGTTCAACATGAGTTTGTTCCACAGCCCCTTTGAAGACATTTCCTGCGATGATTCCTTGCTCACATACAGAAGGGAGAATCGTCCAGTGGTCTTGCTCGGTGTGGCGCTTCTGGCGAACTGTACGAGACCCCTTTGGAGCCCAGCTCTTCAGTCGAAGGGCGTCGCGCCCTACCACTCCAGATTCATCTTTGAAATGGAAAAGTCAATGCGATGAGCATACGACTACACAGAAACATCCAATATTTATTGAAAGAACAGTGACTTACCGATAAACACCAAGTACTCAGGTGGAATGCAGCCCACCTTTAACATATAAGCAGTTTGATCTGCCTTTGACTGCGCGGCATGAACACCTCGAGTGATAAGATGAGAGAGTCCTAAGCGGTTGTGCAACTCGCGGCCAATGGTCGATTGAGACACAGGGATGCCGATGATTCGTTCAAGCTGTTTTTGCAATTCATCGAGGTAGATGGAGGGACAGTCGGTAACCAATTCATTAAGTACCGCAAGATGTTGATCTGACAATCGGTGGGGTCGGCCACGGGTCTGGTATTGCTTGGGATCGCGAAAAACCCTCCGTGTTTGTTCGTAGAGCTTTCTCCAACGCCAAAGGGAAGTGGCGGAGATCGAAGTTCGAAGGGTCAGATTGATTGTAATGAGATCAACATCGTCCATGGCCATCTCGACAGCCAGGAGTTTGATATCCGCTGAGTAGGATTGAAAGCCCATTGAAGTGAACGGATTGGTGATGTTGGATGGGGATAGGAGGAATTTGATTGGATGGAGAGGGGGGGATCCGGATCGGAGGTGCTGGGTGGAAGTTTTTGGGGGGTTTGCTCTGGTTTGCTTGTGAAGCCATTCGAAGGTCATGGTAGTCAGTGGCTATGGACATCAGAAGTCAGGCGATGTTTGGCGGTCCAGATTCGCCCAACTTCGCAGGGCGCACGGACCAGCAGGACAATCTTGTTTTTAGGATTTTTCATCCTTTTTGCATGTTACTGTATGTGACCACGGGCGGGATCAGGCGGGATCCAAAGGCCATACTGTCGTTCTCGAAAAGCTTGTCCGAGTTTTCCCGCCAAGCTGCTCGAGTCTTGCGGGCAAACTTAGACAAGCTTTTCGAAAACGACAGTAGGTTTGCCTATAAAAAGGCTCTCTTTGAGGCTTACAATCCATATCATCATCAATCATCATCTGATATCACTTCCATTCAAGACCGATCTCGTTCAGCTACCAAGCCCTCAATTTTGTAATTTCTCCTTTCTGTTTCCATTCCGTCTTACATTCAACTTAACATACCTTACTTACCATTTTCCTCTAAAACCCTTTGCTTTTCTTCAGAAGGTGATCACCAAACCTATTACCTTCACAAACCGACTTCAATACGCTTAAAATATACTAAGATGGTTAGTCTTTTGATTTGTTTTTTCTTTCCAAAACACGATTCTTGATCAGCCTTTAATGTTGACATGAAACTTGAATGATACCTCTTTTCCTAGATTCTTGGAAATTATTTCAAACTCCTCGCGGTCTTTGTGGGCCTCATCGCCGTAACTCATGGGGATAGTGGTGTTAGCCTCCCGAATCTTAGCGCACTACTAATCCCCAAGTGTGAAAATGGTGAAGTCGTTTGCACAGCAGGGGCGGGTTATTGTTTCAACCAGGGAAGCACGCCAACGGCACAATGTTCGAAAAATGGAGTAATCTCATGCTCGGGCGGTGGCACCCCCTCATGTTCAGGCTGAAATCCTCCTAATTGAGGAGGGGGATCCCTTAGCAAGCTATGTATTCATTCGAAAGAAAACTCTCAAGTGCCCTCTCTTTTCTCATGTTACTATGTAGAGTGAATTTTAAATCCAATGCGATTCCCAAAAGTTAGTGAGATGTTATGATAGATGATGATTTTGTTTAGAAGCGGTAATCTAAATCGGTCTATATCTTTGGTTAATTTAACTCATCAAATAATCCAAGTGTTAGTTCTCAAGTAGTTGATTGCTTCTCTTTCTATAATCTTTCTTGTTTGAAAACATACGAACCTAAGCGCAATATCATCACTTTTATTTTCTTGTATATCGAATCCTCAGCTTTGCGACATGAAGTTGAGCGTTCTTTTCAATCTCTCTCTCGCTTTGCCCATATCCAAAAGAACCCGTGCGTGGAGAAACTATGTACTGCTTTCTTTGACCACACCGTTGTGCAGGTACTCTATAACTCTTCTAAACAAACCTTCAATGGTTTCTAAAGTGCTCATGAAGATGAGAGACGCTTACCTCTTTCGTCCTAAAAACCTTGGCTTATTATCCCATCAAGCACCAATTGCTTCCTTTAAAATTCTGCTACTCTTCAAATCATTCGCTTCTTCAAATGTATTTAACCCAAAGTCCTTTTTGTTTTCCTTCTACATACTTACCTAGACAAAATTAACTTTTGATTCACATATATCCCATAACCAAACAATCCGAAGCCGTCAAGGATTTCTTGATCATAATAAAATCCTTGTACATCATGCATACATACACACTCCAACTTTTTTTTTGGTTGTAACTCTTACTCTTGCCAGTTAAGAAAGATCTTTAAAGATCAAGAGAAGATTTTTTTCAATTACAGTAGTTTTAAAAAAGTGTGTCACAAAGGTTTTGTCAAGCTTGGAGAGTCCCAAGCTTGGTGGTTGAGCGTTTTGAATTGAACGTGGTGCCAAAGCGGAAAGAAAAGTGAGTACTGGTATGTACATAGGGTTTGCGCGAGTACGCTAGCCACAAGCAGTCTTCAAAGCCCAAGATGCCGAGTAGAGAGTAGGCTCAGCTTGGTTCAGATGACCCCTAAATTGTCATTCCGATTCCAACTCACCATTAGATTTCCATTTCTCCTTCAACAGAATCTCACCCATCAAGGCTCACCACCAAATGGATTGCTCAGCAACCAAGATTTGAATCTTGATGATTCCTTGAAGAACAATCAGAAGACCATCTTTGAGACAGATCTCTTTTTGTTTTGACTGTGATGATGCTTTCATTGAAAAAGCTCAAACCACAAAGCTTGACCCACTACTAGCTCAACACAAAAAGTTTGTGACAGGCTTTTGTAAAACTGTAAGTACTTTGGTTTTTTTTCTTTGGTTTCATTCAAATATCTTTTTCAACATCAAAATTAAATAAAATAAACCAAAAGGGTATGTAATTCAGGAGACCCAAATAGGTTTTGTTTGTAAAAAAAATCATCTGCTTCTCTGAGTTCTCATCTTCTTCTTTGCATCATTCCTCTCCTTCCTTTACATCCATAAATTATCTTTCCATCTCCTTTTCCATCTCTTTTTACCCCCTTCAAACAAATCCTCATCTTATTCTAAAATCAATTACAGACCGCTTTACACCAAAACCAATACCAAAAAATCACATCTTTGAAAAAAAATCCTACTTATATACTTATATACATACATATTCTTTTTCATAAACTAACAAAACTTTTTTATCAAAAGTGAATCATTTATTACTTTTGCTAAAAAGCTTGGCCGGATCAAGAAAAAATAAAACAGAATTAGACCCAGATTTCACCGCAGCAATCACAACGCAGCAGAGAGAAAAAAGTTTGAGGGTGCTGTCAGGGGTGGCGCAATCTCCCTTCCATTCCCTCCTTTTGATTCCCCCGCTGCCGCCAAAAAACAATTCATATTCTCAAAATCCCTGCCAATCACTTTGTTTTCCTCACTAAACTCAATCCCTCGCTGGTTCTCGCATCCTGGAAACGTGTCCTATCCATGGACAATTGATTGCTGATCTCTGTAAGTGAGAAGGTTCACTTTTTTGCTTCAATTCCTCCATTTGTCTCTTCAGTGCATTCTATTCAACTTACTGATAAACCACAACATCATTTCTAGGTATCCTTTGAAATTAACACACAAATCTACCATCATTGTGGTTATCAGACATTTGAAGATAAGCTTTATTGGTTAGAATATATGAATTGTAGTTAGCAAAGATTTTCATTGTATAGGAATCAGAATCGAGGAATTATCGATAAGAGTGATGTGAAAATTGAAATCGTTTCAATCTTCATACAAGAAAATCGATTGATTTTGATCTTGTTCCAAAGCATCAGCCTCTAGATTATGTACACAAGAGAGCTGAGATTGTTCACACTCTTTTCCGTAGGAAGATAGGAAGGTCAATTGGTTTTGAGCAAGCAAAATCAATCGATTTTTGGATTTTGAGTGTCTTTAAGAAAATTGAGATGGTTTTTGATAGACGAATTGAATGGGTTTGGATGACAAGGCCAATGCTCTCTTGGTTTTTAATACCCTCAAAGAGATCTGAGATGGTTCTCAGCTCGCAATCATAGGCTTGCCTCATAGGAGAATCGATCGGCATTGATCGGTTGTGATATTTTTCATAACCAATCGATGATTATGACAATCTTGACAACCTTAAAAATCACTCATGTTTTGAATATCTTTCATAAGATATTCAATCTCAGACTTTAGTTATTCAGCAGAGCTCGCACTCGACAGGTTGAAGATATGTAAGATACATCTCAATTCACTTGCCTTTTTTTTCACGTTAGCACAGTAGTTGTGAGCTCCAAAGCTTCAACAACATCTCTAATTTTCATCTGTTAACAAACGCTCGTTATTGACATATGAGGAATACTACAGAGAGAGAGGTTTCACACATCATTCCAACACCTCAAACCCATCGTAAAAGTGTGTGGGAAGGAAGAGCTGGTGAGGTGATGGTGAGACAAAGCTAGGTGGACCGATCACTGATATCAGACTGTGTTGCGAGGATGGTCATCTGAATCAAAGGATATGAAAAGGTTGTTAGAAAGTGCATCAATAGATAATGAATCAGTAGTTATTTATAATGTAGCACATAGAGTGACTTACCAAGAGCTTGACAAGCTCATCTTGCCAGAGTGTGTAACAAAAGAGGTGGCCAGGTGGTGGTGAACTAGAACCGAGAGGTGGGTGATGGGCCAGTGGAGTGGAAGGGAGATCACACCAACCCTGACAGAACCCTCAAACTTTTTTCTCTCTGCTGCGTTGTGACTGCTGCGGTGAAATCTGGGTCTAATTCTGTTTAATTATTTCTTGATCCGGCCAAGCTTTTTAGCAAAAGTAATACAACACAACTTTCCCAAAAAAACAAAAGAAAATAAAACATTTAAAAAAAATGTCAAAACCCCAATTATCAAAAACAAAAGATAATGATCAATTAAAACTTTTATAATAATTTTAAAATCAAAAATAACAAAAAAGTTGTAATA